GTGTCAACTTGCAGTTGTGTGCGCGCTGTTGTTGGTATTTCTGGACGGGTTGCAGGTGATGGTCGGTTCAAGAGTCCTTTGAAGTGATCCGCCCATTGTTTAATCTGTTTTTCTTCCTTGGTAATTGGGTTCCCTTGGCTGTCTTTTATAGGTTTCGCTTGTGTTGATCTCTTCCCGGATAGAGATTTGGTTATCTGATATAGTGTCCTCAGGTCCCTTTTGCCTGCTGCCTTCTCAGCTTCAGTGGCCAGGTTGTCGTAGAATCGTCTTTTGTCCTTCCTAGCACTCTTCTTCACTTCTTTGTCCAGTGCTGTGTAAGTTGAGCTCAGCATCTCCTTCTCCTGTCCGTCCTTGCATTGAATCATTTTCTCTTTCACCATTCTCCTCTCTTCTATTAATTTCCAAGTGTCCGTTGAGAGCCATTCCTTGTCTTGTCTCTTCTTTCTTCCTAGAACCGTTGAACACGTTTCGTTGAGAATCGCCTTCAGAGACTTCCAATGTTCTTCCACGCATGATTCTTCAGTGATGTCGCGTAGTGTTTCCTGCTTTGCTCTGACAGTTGCAGTGAAAGTGTCTTTTGTGGTTGTGTCCTTCAGTTTCTGAGTGTTGAACTTGCATTGTGGCCTATCCCCAGCTATCCTCGAGGCTTTTAGTTTCACCTTGAAAGTCCCTTGTACTAGATAGTGGTCTGAACCCACATCTGCTCCTCTCCTCGACCTTGTGTCCAGTAGGCTCCGTCTCCACTTTCTTGAAATTGAGATGAAGTCTATTTGGTTCTTGGTGTTTCCATCTGGTGAAATCCATGTCGTCTTGTGTATATCCTTGTGTTTGAACACACTACCGCCAATCACCAAATCATTGAAGGCGCAGAAGTCTGAGAAGAGTTCACCATTGTCGTTCATTTCGCCGAGGGCCTCACGACCCATGGTGAGTTCTCTTCCTGTGTTGTCTCGCCCAGCTTCGCATTCATGTCGCCCATCAGGATTTTGATATCGCCATTTGGGACGTTGTCCATTATTGCTTGTAGTTGTCTGTAGAACGCCTCCTTCTTCTCTTGTTCTGAGACGTTTGTAGGCGCATAGCATTGAATGACTGTAACTTTCCTTCCTTTTGAGTTGAACCTGGCTGTCATTATCCTGGAGGAGATTGGTTCCCACTGCATGAGAGCTTTGGTTGCTGTTGGTGACATCATGATGGCCACTCCCTCGGTGTGCTCGTGGTTGTCCTCTGGATGGCCGGAAAAGATTACTGTCTCTCCAGTAGGTAGTTGGCACCTTCCAGTTCCGTTCCATCTGCTTTCGCAGATTCCCAACACTTCTATTCTATACCTTCTCATTTCAGCGGCTATCTGGGCAGCCTTTCCAGTTTCGTACATTGTACGAACATTCCAGGTACCCATCCTTACTTTTGCTTTCATCGAAAGAAGGCACATCGGCTGACTGGCTTCCCGAAGGCTTTCACCAGCCTGCGTCATTTCACTTCCCCGATTCGAGCGAAAAATAAGGTTATTGCTTATATTTTCAGAATTTTTAATATATTTATTCGTTGAAGTTTCTGTAGCGGTTTGGTTGTGTTTAGGAAGTGGAGTTGCTGACCCCACACCCAATCCTCCCTCTTTATCCGGGCCTGGGACTGGCTAGAAAACTAGCAAGCTAGTTGTCTAAGCGAGGTTTACGCGTTTATAAGGAATATAAATTTTTATTATAACACGATGCCCTCTGGAGTTTATGTTCTTACAGTGTGAGAGTTATTTTTGTGGAAGACCTAGACTCTTTGAAGGTTTAAAGACATATATCTTGGCACATAATGTCGTTCGCAACCGTTTGTAAGTATTTTGAGAGTCAATTGTGGCTGAACGTTTTCTATTTTTGGCTGGTCGCCTGTGTTAGTGTTGCTGACAATAAATGGCCAGAATTCTGATAAAGGTCTTACACATATCTTCCATAATATGAGCTTGTTTCATGATCGCAAATATTTCTGAGTATGCTACAGGACCGATGACATATCAGTCTACTGCGCCACGTACTAAGAAAATGTTGGGCTACTAGGGTGGCTGAGGCCCAGATCAAGAAAACTTTGGAGTTTAGGCTGATCGGCAGGTTGAAGCGCTATTCTAGTACCAAACGAGGAGGCATATGAGCAGATTCAACACTTTTTCAGGTTAAATTGTAGCCCCCATAAGGACACCAAGTAGTAATCTCATTCAGTTTTTTCTGGATTATATTCTGAAGGTACTCTGAGTCACCATAATGGGGTATGTAAGCTACTTCGATGTCATCTGCAAAAATTGACACTTTGTGATGGGAAAAACAAATGTGAATGTCATTGACGTATGGGGTAAACAAGAGAGGACCTGTGACCTCACTTTGAGCTGAACTAGAAGTCATCGGGATAGGTTCTCAAAATGACTGCATGTATTCGCAATATGTACTGATGACCACATTAGTCTTATTATCAAAGCTACAGTGGTTCCAATAAAAATATTGTTCCGCTCAAACACGATGTCTTCTTTTGCACAAAGAGACACTAAGAAGGAGAAGTAAGTGTTAGTTATAACGAAAACCCTGGATAGGTAAAATTCATAGGAGTGTATTAGTGCCCAAGTTAAAATCGCGAAATGCATGGATGATGGCTTGGTCGGAGGTAGGTTTGAAATATCCGAAAATGTACGAAATGCTGACTCACAGGTTGTTTCGCGGGTTTACATTTGATCCACAAAGTCTCATCTTGACCAGAAGCTGAGCGAAATGGTAGATGATAGAGGCAGAAGCTTTATCCATCATTCAGACCTAGGTTGTCGGTATTGCCTTTTAAGAGAAGCACAGAAACTCATTTTGAAATTTCGGGCCGTCACAATGCATGCTGCTGTCGTACAGACCAAGGTGCCCCACATTTGTGACTACTGCCAGATCAACTGATCAGCATGCACCACCATCACTACATTGTTTCCGATGTGATGAGCAGGAGTGTCTGAGCACGAGTTCCAGTACTTCGCGAATGCTAAGCCAGCACTTTATCATTTGAGGTGGTAAGTCGACATGAATATCTTGACCACTAATATTACCTTCGTCTGGTACAATCAAGAACCTCATTAAGTAGAGCCAAGGCTTTCGCTATCCAAGTTTAGACTTGCTCAAACATGCCGCTGAGGTATTCGTTTCCAAGACGGGAATATCACGAATCCTACAAACCTTCGTGGGATGTTCTACTCGTGTTTCTCTAGTGTTCCTATAACGAGTCTAATCTGATGGATAGACCTGATGCGCACAGATCATGTCAACCAGCTGGGAAGTGACTCCGCCCATAAAGATAACTTATTATCTCCATAAGTACCCAAACTGCATGGAGCTGCTTTCAGTAGCTTTCTTCCTCATCCTAACCAATTTTAAGTGATCACTTCAGGAATATTTGCTAAAATATCCTTCGAGTAAGATTTTCGGGTGAGCGTAGAGCACGAGAAGGTATGTTTACATTATTTTACCAAAATACAGATAACTACACCCATCAAATTCTCTTGGCTTTTTGTTACATCTACACACTCATCCAAGTGGGGCAGTTTTTGTGCTCTTCTCTTAGATTCTAAACAACTTCGGATGGCAGTTCGTTACTCAGTGCTCTTCCATCTTTAAATGCAGCGAGGATCATCAGTTTGTGTGTTGGCGAACTTTTGTTATATCTATAGCGAATTCTATGTTTCAGGGAATAATTGCTCTATGTGTTTGCTTATTCGTGCTGAACACTAAGTAGTTATTACGAATATTGTTAAAAGTGACAGGCAGATGTGATGGAAACCCCCAATCGACATCAACTAACACTCGTCTGCTGTTACCTCCATGCATATGGCCACCACTGAGGACTGGTTACATGAGTCTGTTACAGTTTTAACTTCTCACAGTCGTCCAAACGTTGGCATTTAAGGACACCACTTTGCTCCACACACCATTACTGCAAGACAACTGTTTTTTATCCAGTGACTTTACGTAACTGCGTCAACTTCGTATTCAAGAAAAAGAAAAAGGTTTGCGCTAAGTTGCCCCTGTTCTAAATACAGTAAGGGCCGGATGTTTATCATCGCTAATGGTGATGAGACCTGAAACATCGGATGGCGAAAGAACTCCTGCAGTCAACATGGAGGTAGTCTTCACAATGACACTTTAAGCTTTATTATCGTACTGTAGCTCCTATAACCCTTCTAAATGCCGTTGTGTCAGGGCAATATAGAAATGTGCCAGGCTACTTAGCACATTTTCAAGACGAACAAGAACTGAGTTTCAGTACATGCTATTACGAACGGTTCACCAAGGTCTTCAGCTTTCAAACAGATGCTCAAGCTAATTACAAATAAGAATTCCTTTCAAAAACTAATTTTATTCTCTCATTCATAAAGGGAAAATATTAAGATGCATGCGCTGCTAAATGCCTGTCTGTTAGCGCTTTAACTGTGACTACTGCTAAATAATTTCAAGATGATCAAGGTGGATGAAGTTCGGGATGAACCACAGAACCGAGAGAAATACAACACCTACTGGTTGTGGAGTCACACACTAGTTAGCAGAAATTCCATTTGCACTTGGTATACTGCCCTTGATCTTGTCCTAGCAGTCGAAGAATAAGCAGTCTGCGAGAAAAGTCGTCATGTGCATAACTTTTGTTGGTTTTAAATGGCGATATACAGAAATTTGCGAAATAGGACCGATAAAAGGCTTGTTCGTTTAGGTGTAGATGACTCGATACCATTTACAGTTAAGGTCTGTTCCTAATTTGGAAGAAATAGTCTGTCTCTTTTTATTTTGTCCAAGCAGTATTTTTTCTTGCCAAAGACAATACCAGCGGTTATGATGATTTAGAGTAGTCAGCTTGAGATGAACCATTTTTTAAACAGGTATTGAAATCACCAGAAGTGACTATAAAAGACCTCGGTTTCATCAAAGATGACTCTTTAAAAGCTTGTTGTGGACTAGTTAACTTATTTTTGTCTTCACTGTTATAATATATCTATGAAAAACTAAATGACCTTGTAAGGAACACATTTTACAAAACGTTTGATAATGTTATCGCGTTAAAAATACAATGGTGTCTGAAACACCCCAGGGATATTTCTTCGAGTAATATTTAGTTTATTATGTTATAGCATTATTTTAGTGTTCTGAAAAAATCAACTCCAGATGGAAAGGTAAAGTCAAAGTTGTTTAGTAACATGTATATAGTTGTCAATTTATTTGGACAGAAGGACATTTATCGACCATTTCGACTACATAGATCCCATCGGTGAGTCTTTAAATTTGAGCAGTTTGATGTCGTATTGTATGGACTGATGTAACTCAAATGTAATTTTTATGGTGAATTTAAATTGGTAATTTTGTTAAAATAACAGCTTTTTCAGCTACGGCGACGAATGCAGATAAACTCTATATGTTTCAAACCTAGAAAAATGGTTTTTAAGTGAAGCTAGGTTTGAGTGTCATTAACTTCAGTATATCTATAACATTCATATTTCATGCTAATAAGAATTTTTGAGGCACTTTTAAGGTTTTTAGGGGTTTGTTGGGGAAGAGTGATGCATTTCTCCGAAATCTCGAGAAACGTTTTATTTTGGGTCAATCTTAGTGTTAATAGAAATATATTACCTGGCGAAAATACTTTTTTAAGATGCATGTGTAATTAAAAGAAAAATGCCTAATTTTATGATATTAATTGTCTATTGTAATTAAAGTGTCTGATTAATTAAACGATTCCCGGTGACTGAACGTTTTGTAAAACGGTCGTGTTATTTTTGCTAATTGTGACAAACATTTCTGAAATTTTAACTGTAAAGGGATCATTTTTGAGATCTCCACATGAAATTCTCTTGTTTTGTGACCCTTCGGTAATAAGCTCTCAAAATTGCACGTCGTGAGCGTTCTTCAGAGCAGATTCTACAGTTTTCTTAAACTGAATGTTACATTTTTAGCAAAATGGAAAATGGATTCTATCTGGGAGGACTTTAAGGAATTTAACAACGAATATTAACATTTACTTGAGCCGAATTTTTCAGTTTTCCTTCACTACATATTCATAAATCTTTTATAACTCAGCACCACCAGTGTCTCGAATTTCACCACATTTATTAACTAGATTCATCCCAGAACGTTTGTCATCTATCTGTTTCGCTACTCCATAACTAAGGTACCTTTCTGCGTTAAAATATACCGTCCACATAACTGACTATAAACACAATATTCTGTATTTAAATGAACTTGAAGCATACTTATTGTAGGGAATGTTATCCGTTCAGACGAAGTTTCAATTCAGAATACCCAGTAGCTAACTCATTTTAAACGTGTATATCTCACATCGAAGTCTGTAGGTTCCAATAATAGCACTTTACCGTAAACTGATTTAAAATCTTTGTTTGCTATAATTAATTGTGACCCACATATCCAACTGTTTTGGCACTGCTAAAAGGATGAGGTTTCAACAGGCTTTAAATATAACACTAACGCAATGTAATCCTACGTTTCACTGGGGAGGGGGACTTTAACTGGATCATATTATATTTATTCACTCAGAACCATATATAATATGGCATATGTAATATTTTTGGCCTAAATCTTGCATATCCTTTATTAGTATCCAGGATGTCTCGACAATAGGTGATTTCTGTTGATCTGTTTTTTCTCACAAAAGGACTAGTTAGTTCAAAGGAATCAACGTAGTGACCAGAGCACAAAGAAATTCAGTCATTTGTTATATTTTTCAAAAACTGATGGTATAGTCCACATGCACTTTACGTGTTAAGAGTTACAGAACATTAGAGAGAATAATATGTTCATCCCTTATACTATAAAGTTGGACTTAAGCATCTTCATTTAAAATCTTATGGCTTAAATCTTTTGCAAATTCATTCCCATAACTACAGCTGTTTTAGTGCTCATTTAAACAGTTATCCCTACACATCTCTATATAAATGTTTTCATATTTTCATCTGAGTGTTCAGAAATTTTGACCACACTGCTCACATTTCACATATAATTGTAATTTAAGGTTGATGAAATTGTGCATGTGTGAAGCACGTCTTTGATTTGATCTATTTTGCACCAGTAGCTTTCTTATTTCATGAGTACTAATACATTCAGCGTCTGTTAACAATTATCTGACAGTATTTAATTGGTGGATGGTGATTAGCAGGGGAATCCAGGATGCACATTTCGTCCTATTGGGGACTTGTCATCTGGACGTACCTGCATTTCTCAGTGAGTGATGATGTTCCCACCGAGGCTCAAACCCAGTACCCATAGTTTCGAACGCCCACTAGACCACTTGGGCCATGAGAGCCACCTCTTGTGCAACGGGTCGTATTAATTCAATTGAACTTGAGATTTTCCCGTCGATTGATTGGACCGAAGTGCTCGGTCTCAGGTTGACATGTCGACTTCTTGTGCAGATACTTCGACGATGTCTGGTCATTTAGTTGGTATTTAATTGGTGTATGGTGACTAGCGGTGGAATCCAAGATGTGCATTTCGCCCATCACTCACTAAGAAATGCAGGTACATTCAGATGACGAGTCCCAAACAGGACGAAATGCGCATCCTGGATTCCACTGCCAGCCACCATCCACCAATTGTATGCAAATCAAATCCCCAGACATCGTCGAAGCATCTGCACAAGAAGCCGACATGTCAACCTGAGACCGAGCACTTCGGTCCAATCAATCGACGGGAAAATCAAAAATTCAATTCAATAATTAATATGACCCGTTGCACAAGAGGTGGCTCTCGTGGCCCAAGTGGTCTAGTGGATAACGCTTTGGCGTTTGAAACTATGGGCACTGGGTTCGAGCCTCGGTGGGAACATCATCTCTCACTGAGAAATGCAGGTACATCCAGCTGACGAGTCCCAAATAGGACGAAATGCGCATCCTGGATTCCACTGCTAGCCACCATCCACCAATTGTATACAAATCAAATCCCCAGACATCGTCGAAGCATCTGCACAAGAAGCCGACATGTCAACCTGAGACCGAGCACTTCGGTCCAATCAATCGACGGGAAAATCTCAAATTCAATAAAATTATCTGACAGCTCTAAGAATCATGTGATAGACGTCTTAACATGTTTCCTATAAAGATAACTAACGAATTTTAGGTACGGCATGATATAAGACAAGGAAAGTTTTAAGCCAAAAAAGTATGCTGAAATGTGGAAAAATCTCCACATAATAGAGCAAAACTAGAATGATTATCTTTAAACGCAATTGTGTAATGAGTGTTTGTATAGAGTTTAATTTGTATATGAAAAGCAAGCCGGTGAAATAGTCAGTTTCTTCCAAAACGTCCTAGTCTTGCAGTATCTTTGTAAACAGCAGATTTTAAGTGGTTTTTATTTGGATTTATTAATTCCAATTAACATCGCCCCTTTCAGTCAGATAGCCTGAATGATAAGAATTTGAAAGCCTTAAGATTACTGCCTAAGTTCAGGTTTTTATGAAAGATGTTTGACTTTTCGAAATTTTGGATGAAATCTATTAGCACACCACTTAAGAAAACACTTCTCACATTCCCCAGAACCTGTTACGCTCTAATCTAATTTTCTAAAGCCCAAAAGTAAGACTTTCGCATATTTAGCTTGATGACAGAAGACTCGCCAGCCGCACCAGAGGTTTGGGTTCGACTCCAGGCTAGTGTACTTTTATATATTACCTGGTTTACTAGTCTGTAGTAAACTTAGATAAGGAGGGATGGTTGTGCATAAGACGAGTAACGCAAGTCCATGAATTTACCACACAGCTACTAAAACTTTAACAGTTAAAGCTACATATTCCACGTGGAATGCAAGAAATGAAAAAAAAACATTTGTCACTTAAAAGACTCGATAACATCAACACTTATGAGACTGTAAAATATTTCCGTGTAATGATCTACGATTTGAATCTTTTATTTCTTGTGATTTTCATTTAACGTTTGAGATACTATGAATGGTAACATTTGTCCGTTTTAGCATATATTGGTTAATAAAATCGAAAACTTTATTTTATTGGGAAAATGTGGGTTCTATGGAAAACTGTGATGGATACATATTGTTCAGTATTTATACTAGTTATGGAGGAGATTGTGTGTGTGGAAGAGATGAGAGACCCTGAACAATCGTGGGGTTAGCTAAAGAGGACCACTGAGAAGAAGAAGACAAAGTAAGGACGTGCTGTTGAAGCTGTATACAACCTTTGGAACCCTACGATAATAATATAATGGTTATAAATAATTTTCTTGGCATGAAATAAACACTTTCAAAGTATTTTGGTCAGTATTTAGAAAATAAAAACGAGAAATTTAGTTAAACTTAATGGCATAGTTCTCAGATGCTCATATTTATTGACCAGACATAAAAGGCTATTCGAACTGTTATACTACAGTTTGATTACTGTTGGCTTGGTTATTTATACAAGTGTAGGTTGAGTACTTATGTCTGTGAGATAATCTCTTTCGTAAAGAGAGAATGTTATATATATATATATATATATATATATATATATATCCGAACAGTTTCAAGGATTAACCATTGTCCTCAAAACTTATAAATCTTGAATCAATTGTGATTCTAACCAAGAATCTTCTTAAGTAGATTACCGCGTCTACAATTTAACAGTAGAAATCTTATCTTTGGATTAAGATATACTTTAATTTTAAGATTCTAGTTACGCAAGTGATTATATTAATCCCATTTCTCGTGACATCATCATTTCCACTCACCCTTTCCATCTCTTTAATAATTATATTCAACGTTTTTTATCAATGTACTATTATGTTTGATGAATTGTTGTCACTGAGTTTTTTTTGAAAGTGTACATGTTGATATCAACTGGTTGGAGGTAGTCGGAAGGAAGCCCTAACTAGGCCTAGGACTTGCGTTTGTTGACAGTCACCAGTGAGCTAGGCGTATCTGCAACCTTGAAGAAACAACTCATATCCCTTCTGAGGTTCAAATCCGTGTCACCCAGTGAGCGCTGAAGTCAGAGACATTACTAGTGAGCTAGATATTCATTTTCGCCAGTGACCTCTTTTATGAATGTATTGGATACTTTTTGATTGGCAACTAGTTAGTAACTAGCCTTATGTGTTCATTGGTAACGTTTCTGACTGCAGTATTGGGTGAAGCGAGTTCGGATCTCAGAAGTTACATGAGTTCCTTCAAGGTTTCAGATATTTCTTGCTGACTGGTAACGGCCAAAACGCATGAAACCTAAGTCCAAGGCTTTCTTCCAAGTACATCCAACCATTTAATATCAACAGT